TAATATATACCACTTGAATAAACAAACACATAAATATGTTATTTCATTTCTTACGTACATAGGTTTATTTAAAATGGGTTAAAAACATTAATAATTATTAATATTTTATTAAAATTGTACTAAACATAAACATCATTACACTTTTTGCAATTTTCAGTTGAGAGTCGGTACGTCAAAATTTGTCTGTTTGTTTGTTCAGTCGCCCTTTACTCGAGAACACATATGATAGATTGATAACTTTTTCTGTTGCTGTTAGATAAAGTGCTGTAAACCTTTTGTCATGCTTGTCATGGACGTTATAGAAACGCTACACGCAGGCACGTCACAGACAGACAGCTAGTAGGTATAACAAACAAATATAAAACTAGTAATAAAATAATATAAATAAATATGTTGGGACATTTACAGCACCATCTAATTCCATCGTAAGCTACGAGGCTTGTATAATGGATACCAGATAGTTGATACACTATACATATATAACTTTAAAATACATACATATTAAACACCCATGACTGGAGTACAAACATTCGTGCTCATCACATAAATACCCTCAGCGGGACTCGAACCCGCGGCCGCTGGCAATACAAGTAGGGTCACATCAAACTGTACCATAACATAAAAAGTAAGCGGACCAATCAACTAACTTCATCAAACATCACAATTTGATGACGCATATAAAGAACTTGACGCGGAAATTGCCAAACACGTCCCTTAATAAAACTTGTGATGACTTTAGGATAGTGGGCGGGCTGTTAGAGTTAAAGACGCTGCATTATGACATGAAAATTAAGAGTGACAATAACTGTTGACTAAATTTTGACCACTTTCAAAAAGAAGGGTGGACATTCAATTCAGTTATAATCTCAAAAGAAATAAGTTTTCTTTATAATATGCTACGTGATAACTTTGGCAATTGTAACTCAAGGGTGGTCCTTTATATATGAATAAAAAAAAATAAAACCCTGACCCTAAATATTAGAATAATTACTTTGAAGAGATTTTATTGAGATTTGAAGTCGTTGTTCCTGTTATTGTAAAATTGTAAATTAATTATTATATAAACTAAATAAGTAAAAAAACTATTACAATACCTCGAAGGAATATTTCTATATAAATAACAAGTAAAACTGTATAGTATAGTAATTGCAAACTAAATATCAAAAATCCTAAGTAGGTATACACACAAACATACTTAGTATATGTACATAACTATATATATATAATAAAATTGTAACTAAGCCGAATCTGTACATTAAATATTTTTTGGAAAATCTTATTGAAATAGACATTATTATCGATACAGAGGCCGAATCTATAGTTTTTACAATTTTTGTCTCTCTGTCTGTCTGTTTGTTACCGTATCACGGAAAAACCACTGCAGGGATTTTGATGAAATTTGGTATGATGATAGATGGTTATCTGGGTCAACTTAGAGGATAATTTTTATTGCGGGAAAATATCTCATCTCTGAGAAATCTAAATACTAAATAATATATATATAATAAATACTAAATGTTAAAATGTAAGTAGGGACGAACCACAGCGGACCGAGGATGAGTCGCTAGTAATATATAAAAGTGTAAAAGATATGTAAAGGTACGATGTGAATCTCTATGGTTCGTAGGTTTCAACGTAAGCATATTTAGAGAGAAATTGCGACACCATCTTCCCTCCATACAAGCGTAAAGAATGAGAAATTGGTGCCACCACGACAAATGTGTCAAATTCATTGGCCATCAGTGTGACAGTTTTCTTTTCTCTATAAAAGGATGGAACAACAGAGTGAATTTATCCTACTTTCTTTTATGTTTATAACTTTAATAATTTGTTAATATTCTATTATTATACATGACAAATAAATTATTTAATTATATTGGAATAGAAGAATAGATAACCTAAAACGTTAAGTTTAGAAAAATTAAATTTTGTACAATAGATCGCCATCAATTCACACCCTAAAGGGGGTGAAATATAGATCAAAGTTCGTTAGTTTGATGTGGAAATTGTATTTTAGCTTCTACTTCCCATCGGGCTCACAATTTTTTTTTTCTATAAACTGAAAAGCACATGACGTGATGTTGTTAGAGTCATATATTTAAGAAAAAATCATATATTTACATAACAGAGTATTATTACACTTGCTTATCTGTGTACATAATCAAATTATAACTTCTTAAGTGACAATAGCTGTCATAACAATCCTAAGTTGCGAAGTCATGGGAATGCATCATTATCGTAATAAAACAATACAAGAAACAAATACAAGGCCGTTTCCTTCATATACTTGACAATAACAATACATCATAGGTGAACATTTTTATGCCAACGACGACCTATGTATGTATGTATTTTAATTTTAATGCGCTTTTTTTAGTTTCACTTGTTACTGTGTTATCAAATATTCAAAGTGTTAAGTATGTTTAAATCTAATTTTGCATTACGAGTACTCTTATTATTCCCTCCACGACCGCGGACACGCCGCGCGGCGTTACAGTTAACAATAGATTTCTTAGAAAACTACCTGGAAGTGTTAAATTGATATGAAATTGTGTAAATGTATATAGTTTAGATGACAACACAATAATTTGTACAACATTGTAAACGGTTTTAAAGGAGCCACTGTTAAGTTTTCCCCGGCTCTTCTCAGTAGAAGGACAGATCGCATAATACTAGGTAGAACCTTCTGCGCCGGTGGAAGCTAGGTAGCTACCTCACTAAACTGACTATTTTTAAATTAAATTGACGATTTAAATAAAACCATCTTTTCGGTTTTTTCCCCGGATTTATTTTGATTTTTGGTTCCCGACATTTCGAATGCAATCATGGTCATGGGAGAGTTATGAATCGAACAAAATAAATCTGCGAAAAAATCGTAAAAAGTAGTTTTATTAAAAATTGCCAAATATTCGCGTAAATCTAAGAAAACATCAAAATTGCTTGTATAATTCTTATTTACATTACATTTACCTGATCTAATGGAGGTGGACAGGAAGTCTTCAATAGTTAGGTTCATAGATTTATTTACGTAGGAGTATTCATTAACTCATTAATTAAGAAATAATTAGTTCGAACGCTCGAATTAAAGATATCAAGTAATACTACAAACCCATATACATAATATGTAGTTACTTACATGTATACTCGAATCAAGTGCCTCCTTTTTAAATTAGATCAAAAAATATTGTAGTTACACACGAAAGTATAGAAACATCAAACAAACCAACACTTTAGTTAAGTAAAACTTAACAAAAACCAAGGTTAATGTTATAATCAACTTCCTAAACAAATAAATAAGCTTATCAAATGAATGTCTGCAAATTGTATTCGAGTCAAGGCCACTTCTTTCCGCCTAGTTTTTGCGGCCTTTCAAATGACTTACGCTTTTTATATTACGATGCGGATAAATATGTCATGTTAACTGTGTCTTTTTAACACGCTTTTATTAGCTTCTTCTATATTGTAAACAAATCTTGGAAGCTCATTGGAAATCTTGGAAACATCGAGCTGATCTGATGATAGAGAAAGGTGATAGTGGAACTCTTCAATGGCTTGTAGTAAATCCCACGAGTTTGGACTCATTTGATTCGTTTCGACGAGTTCCATTCATTTTTGTTTTGTACCGAACTATTTTCATGCACCGGTTTTTGTACTAGGACATCAACCTGAGGAATGTTGACTTCTAACATACAAAGGGAAAACAATAGCCAAAGCAAAGTTCAGATATTTTTTCTAGAATCTTTAAGCCATTTATTTCTATGCAGTTTGGCTCTACTGAAGTGGCTCTCTTTGGTGTTGTGCTATTTTATGAAGTTTCTTCTACTGATATTATCTTTTATATATAGCGTTTGTTGTACTGTTATTATTTAATTTTACATTTACATACCAGGATCCCTAAGGATCGTTTGAAAATTCTTCTCAAAATGATATGAAACTTGTTTGAACAGCTATATTAGTAATAAGAAAATTGATAAAGCATATCTCTTTTATGCTTCGTAAAAACTTGTCATCGATTAAATATTCAGTCTTATCATCATTCATTTTATGTTTTTAATATTTTCATCCCTAATAATATTATATTAAGCAAAAATGTGTTTATTTGTCGGTTTATTTTTATTTATATAGCAAGCTTTTGGAGACATTTAATGGGTCATAAAATGACATAGCATTAGCATTTTTATACCATTTGTGATCTGAGTTTTTGCAAGAAGGTACTACATAGGGACGCGTTTTGACAAAGTGTAGGTAGTGAATCAGTGTTTGCTGATTTGTTGTGCTCTAAAGAAATCTCTGTGAGGATACATAAAAGTCTGAACATACCTAAATAACTTTCGAAAAATATTTAATGTCGGCTAATTACATTTCGGCCAGCGTAAATATTTGGTAAACTATGGTATAGCCTAAAACCTCTATTTGGGGAAAGGTCAATGCCCACCTGTGGGATGTTAAAGAACTGAAGTGACTAAACTAGGGGGATATAAAAATAAAAAGCTAAACTATAAAATATTATATTACTAGCAGTGCCCGCAGCTCCGCCCGCGTTCAGATGACCAAAAACCAAATTCTTAGGTTTTACATATTAGTATACTCTTACATTGCAGTTTTAGTATTTTTTCTCAGAAATGAGACATTTTTCCGCGCTAAAAAGTATCCTATATGTTGACCCGTATAACCAGCTATCACCATACTAAATTTCATCAAAATCTGTCCAGTGGTTTTCTCGTGATGCGGTAACAGACAGACAGACAGACAGACAAAAATTCTAAAAACTATACATTCGGATTGTATCGATAATAATGTCTATTTCAATAAGATTTTCCAAGAAATATTTAATGTACAGATTCGACTTAGTTACAATTTTATTATATGTAGGTATAGATTAAAAATACCAATCTGTTACGTTAATCCATTTACAAGATTTTTCTCCTAGGTCGAAACAAAATTATACTGCTGCTATATCAAAGCAATCATCGGACGGTCGGAGTGATTGCACAAATTCAATCTGCAGCATAATGACTACAGTAATTATTATCTGCTGGAGTATTATGCAACAGTGCGGATGCATAAAAACCAAGGGCCCAAGGACGTTGAACCCAGCCTTTGTTACTTACTCCCATCGGAGTGTTAGCGGTTACGAAATCGAGATATCTTGACTTTGGTACTAAATAAGTTTAAAGAAATTTAATATGATTTTTTTAAGATTTTCAAGGTTTTCAAGCGTTTTAAGAATATTTATTTTGTTTTAAATGTGCTTATTATTTTAATTAATATCATTTGTATACATTAGCGTAAGTTAGCTGAAAAATGATGAATTAAAAATCAGGAACGGCTAAATAAACATGTTCTACTTATTATTATTTTTTCTATAAATTTCTAAGTTGTGATTAAAAATAATGTGCTTTTAATAGAGCAGGAGTATACTTAACCTTCACCTAGATAATATTTTGCTAAATATGCCTTAAGATATATATATATATATATATATATATATATATATATATATTATATATATGGGTGATTCTTCAAAATTTGGTTAACTTGGTGTTAGCAGCCATTTTCACATATTTATATCTATTTTATTAAATATTTGCAACTACTAAGCAATATTATAAAGTTCATGTAATTTGGTCACTCACTTTGATTTATATCACAATATTTTTTATTTCCGAAAATCGCTTCTTTCTACTCCAAATATCAGGCCCTAGCCATGTAAGATCTCCCAAATTTAGCAAGCATTTCATTGTTATTGTAATTCTCTAAATCATATTTGATTTAACTCGACTTAAACACGTTTACTATTACATTATTAACCTAGTGTTAGAAATGAAAATACTACTCGTTGATGACACTCGTATATTTTTAACTCAATTTAAACTCTAATGACACATCTTTCAATTGCCTTATATATAACGACCAGAAACTTTAGACAGCGCGATTCAGAAAACTACACTTACAATGACAGTGCCATCTCTTGCAATAATATCAAATTAAAACTATTATACATATACATTCTACACATTCCGCCCACCAAGGACTTGTCCTTTAAATAAATAATAAAGAACAAACACAAAATTAAATTAATGTACTACTTATTTGCCGCCCACCATAACACATGGATGTAACAAGCAAAAGTAAAATAACTCTAATATTGTCACAATAAAACTAATCACAAATTAAGAAGTACATAAAGTAGCCGCCCACCCTGATAATGCAACTTGAATCACTTTGACTTAGTCAAAATACAAACTTTATTGATTGGGCGTTTAAGAAAACCACTTTTAGATTTTAGAGTTACAACTCGTGTCACATTATCGGGGCCAGTATGCTTTTTTATTATTTTTCCTAAAATCCATTTAGCTGGCGGAAGATTGTCGTCTCTAACTACAACCACGTCACCAATATCTACTTCTGGTCTCTTTACACACCATTTATTTCTTTGGTTTAAATTGCTTAAATATTCTTTAGACCATCTTTTCCAAAACAAATTAAACATTTTTTGTATTAACTTCCACCTATCTAAACCAATAACATTTTGATCTATATAATTTACATCACTTATACCTATCAAAGGCTCTCCTATTAAAAAATGGCCAGGTGTCAAGGGAAGAGGGTCGTCTGGGTTATCACTAACAAATGACAAAGGTCGAGAATTTAAACAAGCCTCGATTTGCGTTAGTAGTGTACAAAGCTCTTCGTATGTTAAAGTAGTGTCCCCGATTACTCTTTTTAAATGCGCTTTAGCACAACGAACACCCGCTTCCCAAATTCCTCCAAAATTAGGTGCACTTGGAGGTATAAAATGCCATTTAGTGGATTCTAATGATAAAAGTTCTGCTATTTCATGTGGTAACTCAGATTTAGCACTATTAAACATATTTCGTAACATCACATCTGCACCAACAAAGTTAGTGCCGTTGTCGCTAAAAAGATCTTGACAGTGTCCTCTTCTAGCAACAAATCTTCGAAAGGCGGCAATGAAGCCTTTCGCTGTTAGATCAGTCACAGCTTCTAAGTGAATTGCGCGAGTGACCATGCACACGAACAAACAAATATATCCTTTATAGGACTTTGCTCCTCTACCCGATGATATTCTAATATTAATGGGACCCGCATAATCCACTCCTGAAGCTTTGAAGGGTCTGCTTGGTTTTACCCTGGCCTCTGGTAATTGCCCCATAAGTTGGGTTGTTGCTGCTTTAGAGTACCTTAAGCAAGTTGTACATTCCCTATAATATTGTTTGACCATATCACGTGCTCTCACTATCCAAAATTTAGATCTCAAAAAATTCATCATTAATTGAGGCCCGCCATGAAGTGTCTTCTTATGAGCATCTGCGACTATCAGCTGACTTAAATGATTTTTATTTGGCATGATAATTGGATGTTTTTGATCAAAGCTCACTTCTGCTTGGCTAATGCGTCCACCAACTCTTAATATCCTATTTTTGTCTAGAAATGGATAAAGTGAAAGTAACTTGCTCCGTTTTGAGACACAACCCTTATTTTGTAGTGAAATCATTTCGTCGCTAAACTCATACTCCTGAACTTGTCTAATACAAAGTTCCATAGTTTTATTCATCTCATCAGTTGTAGCGTATTTAGGATAAGCAGATCTATCTTTTAACGGTAACTTTACTTTAAGGAACCTCCGACATATGGATATGACTTTTAACATTTTATTTAAATCTGAGAATTTCATCCACTCAAAACTGCATTCTGTGACCTTCGTGGTAAATGATTTAACCTTCTCTTCCTCGTAAGTATCACCTATAATTGGATTTTCAATATTAATGATCGATTTTGCTAGACACACTGAATAACTGCTTAATTCGGTCGGCTTGAGACCTCTCGATGCACAATCAGCGGGATTCGTCTGAGTAGATACATGTCGCCATTGCTCAAAATCTAAGATTGTGTGAATGTGTGATACTCTATTACTTACGTAAGTAGCCCACCGACTTACCGGCCCTCGTAACCATGCCAATACTACCATAGAATCAGTCCAGGCATATAAATCTTGTTTCATTACGCCCATTACTTGTGACACCTCATGTATTAATTTAGCAGCTAATACTGCTCCACAAAGTTCTAACCTGGGAATAGACACTTCTCTTTCAATAGGCGCTACTTTAGTTTTTGCAGTCACAAGTCTAACGTAAATTTGATTGTTCTCGTCAATCACTTTGAGATACACAGCAGCTGCATAAGCAACACTTGACGCATCTGAAAATGCATGTAACTCTAACTTAGATCTCTTGGTTGAGCAAAGCCATCGGGGTATTAGAATATGTTTAATATGAGTTAATTCTTGTCTATATTTAAGCCACTCTGCCAAAAGATCACTCGGTAACTCATTATCCCAATCTAGGTGTGATTTCCATAATTTTTGTATAAAAATTTTAGCAGTAATTACTACAGGTGCAATCCATCCAATAGGGTCATATAATCGCGCAATATCTGATAGAACATTTCGTTTTGTAACCGATTGTGTAGGTTCAGGTAAATTAACTATATACTCAAAATTGTCTGTAAATCTGTTCCAACAAATACCCAATACTTTGACCATATTATCTTCTTTGATATATATCGCGTTCTCTGTGTTTAACTTCTCTGTTTTAATGTGATTTAAAAACGATTGATTATTACTACTCCACTTTTGCACTTGAAAACCTCCCGCACTCATTAATTTACTCATTTCCTCATAAATTTGTATCGCTTCCCACTCTTCTTCACACCCAGTCATTAAATCGTCTACATAAAAATCTCGTTTTGTAATCTGTGCTGCTAATGGGTAATTCTCGCTTTCTAATTCGGCTAATGTTTGTAAAGTCTTTACTGCAAGATAAGGTGCGCAGGCGGTTCCAAAGGTTAATGTCAATAGTTTATGATGTTGAATTGGTAAATCAGGTCTAGCTCTCCATACAATTCGTTGAAAATTGGTATCCATATCATGCACATACACTTGCCTGTACATCTTTACTAAATCTGCAACAATACATATAGGGTGCTGTCGCCATCTGAGTAAAAGATGTCGTAAGTCTTGTTGGAGTTTTGGCCCTATAAGTAAATCATCATTCAATGACACGTTATTGATTCCTTTACTGGAGGCATTGAAGACAACGCGCACTTTCGTGGTCTCCCTATCGTCTCTGATAACTGCATGATGTGGAAGATATACAGCTGAAGGATTATCTACATCCTCACTTTCTACTAGCCTCATATGATTTAAAGCAGTATACTCTTCTAGAACTTTACCATACTCATTTAAAAGTTTAGGGTTTTTACATAATCTTCTCTCTAATGAAATTAGTTTTCTCGTAGCTATCTCACATGATCGACCATATTGACTCTGGGGATTATCTGTTCTAAATGGTAATCTTACTACGAACCTCCCATCTTTACGTCTCGATGTTGTCTCAGTATAGAATTGCTCACAGCGTTGTTCCTCTTTAGTTAATTTTTTCTCGATACTATTCGGCTCGTTCTCTATCTCCCAAAACTTTTTTAGCAACTCATCTTCTTTAACTTGAACATGTAAAGTAACAACATTATCATCACCAGATTCTCTTGATACCTTACCTGACAAAATCCATCCAAAAATAGTATTCTGAGCTATTAGGTTTCCGTATGGGCTTCTCTTCATTCCATTTAGCAGTATCTCTCCGTATACTTCTGCACCGAGTAAAACATCAATCTTCCCTGGAGATGCAAATCCTGGATCGGCAAGAGGTAAGTTTTTTAGCTCTAGCCAATCGGGGATATGTACTTCACGTGACGGTAATATAGAGGTAATTGACTTTAATACATAAGCGTAGACGCGAATATTTTTACCAGGATCGTGACGGGATTCTACTTCGATATTAACTGCGTATTTTATAACCATACTATGACCATCTCCCAAGCTTGACACCCTACCATTTACATTAGTACGTTTGAGACCTAACAATTGTACGGTGTCCTCAGTCACAAAAGAGGCTTGAGAGCCTTGGTCTAACAATGCTCTTAAAATATAAGAAGAACCGTTTCTAGAACTATTAGATTTTACAACAGCAGTTGCTAATAGTACGCTATAAGTTTTTACATCACCTCTCGAAAAATTAGCTAATACAGTTGTCTCGTTAGATGATGAATTTATTCCACCACTAGATTTATGTTCTGTATCTCTCGTTGACTCAGTTTGTCTCGAATTTTGATATGTTTGCTTATCTTCTTTCTCAAAATGAAGCAAAGTATGGTGCTTTTTGCCACATTTTCGACATGTCGAATTTTGTTGACATTTAAATACAGGATGTGTGGGCGCGAGACAGTTAAAACAAAGCCGCTTACTTTGCACTATATTTTGCCTCTCAAGTACAGGTTCTTTCTTAAACTGTGTACAGTAATATATAAAATGTGGACCGTTACACATTGCACAAGTTGCTTCATTTGAACTTCGTTTAACGTTTACATCTGAATAGAATGTTTTTGGTTTTATGACTTGATTTGCATTTCTTTGTTGATTATTGTGTAATTTAAAACTAGTAAATTGTTTGTTTGTATCTATCATCTCTAAAGTTCTGAATCTCGTTTCTAGAAATTGTTCTAAATGTGACCATTTGGGTAGTTCATCTGGTACAGTACTCAAATAGTTTTCCCAGTGTCGATGTGACTCTTGATCTAATTTTAATACTACTAAATGAATAATCACTGCATCCCATTCTTGAGTTTTAATGTTTAGGTTATTTAATGCTTTTAAACAAGAGTTAGTTGTATCTAGTAAGTTTCTAATAGAAATTGCAGACTCATGTGTTATGGTTTTTTGTCCAAACAACATTTTCATAATAGAGTTACAGTTGTACCTTTTATTGTTATAACGTTTAGTTAGCTGATCCCATGCTTCTTTATAATTAGTTGCTGTAGTGGGAAAATTTCTCAATAGCATTTCAGGTTCTCCAGTCAAACTTGACTTTAAATAATGTAATTTTTGTACTGGTGTAAGCACAGAATTCTCGTGTATAAGTGACACAAACATGTCGTAAAAGGATTGCCACTCGGTATATTTTCCATTAAAAATAGGAAGTTGAATTCTAGGTAGTTGTACCTCCGAATTAATCTCTTTCGTGACAGACAATCCATTTCCACTAGCACCTACCTTTGCAGAGCTTGAATTGGCCGATGCAATGTATTCTTTAAGAAGGGCTTTATAGTTAATAAAAGATTCTTGAAAACTATCCTGCAAATCATCTTTAAAATATGATAACTGCGCTTTCTGTTCGTGTGTCACCTTAGATGCTATTTCCAAATGATTTTGATTAAAAGCTTCCTCTAATTTATCCAATGCTTCTATTCGTGCAGTTAAATAACTAATTTTAGCACGGATCTCAATGTTTGACTTTTTAAAATTCCGTTCCGCTTTTTTTAGTTGCTCAAATAACTCGAATTGCCCTTTTACTAAATTCTCCATTATTATTTAGTGTAAAGAAACACAATATAGTATATTATTTAAATTAGAAATACGATCGATAAATACAACATATTTGACAACTTCAAACATCAATGTTTTGTCAAGTTCATAGAGTAAATTCACAAATATTTTACAAGTCCATAGAATTAAATCTCGAATATTTTACAAGTCCAAAATTTCAATATTTTTTTTTAAAGTCTTTAAAAGAACGAAAATAGTTTAAGTTAAAATCACTATTAATTATTCTAAGTTCGTACGTATACTTTACGCGAAATTTTGCAAGTCTTTTAACTGATTCACTAATCACTGAATTCACTGTCTTATCTCTATTTACTCACGGTTTTAGGTTCTTTAAGCTCGTCTTACCACTCGTGACTCTACACTCACTACACTTTGTCCTTCCTTTTCTCTCCCGGGTTTCGGCACCAATGTTAGAAATGAAAATACTACTCGTTGATGACACTCGTATATTTTTAACTCAATTTAAACTCTAATGACACATCTTTCAATTGCCTTATATATAACGACCAGAAACTTTAGACAGCGCGATTCAGAAAACTACACTTACAATGACAGTGCCATCTCTTGCAATAATATCAAATTAAAACTATTATACATATACATTCTACACACCTAGTCATTGCGATTTTATTTTTAATAACAATAAATTTATCATATTATTTCAAGTTAAAAAGTGTAAGCGTTAAAAAATATCAGGCTCTAGCTATTTGCGAAATTCGAAAATACGCGGCATCTAAGCTTATGGCGTTTTTCAAAACTTACTCAAGCGAAAGCATCGATGTGAAGTTAAATGTAAACACGACCAATGCCGCATCAGCTATTTAGTTTTTACTGCAGTCGCCGACTTTGTTACGGAAACACGTGCTGTGCCAGTCAAACTCTCAGTCCCTAGGTAAGTCGTTTCAAAGATAGTTAATTAATAATTGATCTCATTACTTATTGTAAATTTGAGCTTTGTCTGCCTTGTTATTTTGATCACCTGCTGGTTGTTATGTTTATTTTAAATAATAGGTTATTTTTGATTTTGCTTTGATTCGTCAGTCCCTAGACCGTCAGGCCCTCGTCGTAAAAGTGACTAGGGCCTGATGGCACACCTAGGGACTGACGGTCATACTGCGTGATCCATGGTTTTAATAATAAAATACATGTATTTGTTGTAGAATATGGCACCTAAAAAGAAAACATTACTTTCCAAAGGAGAACTCGCCAAAAAAAGTGTAAACAGACAAAGATACGTTTGGAAAAAATTAAAAATACCCTATTTTGCTAGCAGAGTACAAAGAAAAAGAACGACATAAATATCCAAGGAAAAAGAAAAAGGACAAAGGAAATGTGTCAAGGACATGCCACCGCGTGAGCATAGAAGAACCACGAAACAGAAGACTGAAACGTAAAATGACGAAAAATAAGAAAGCACTTACACCAAAAAGTAAAATTGAAGCCATGGCTAACGAGCCTAATCAAAACGCTGAATTGATAAATAGCACATAATTTCAAATAAATGAGAATGATATCGCTGACGTGCCTTACGAAGAATGTTTTAGAATAACTGCCAGTTTCTAACCTAATAAGGTGGAACCATGTTTCACAAATTTAAGAAACATGTTGTCGCTTACGAAAAGTAGAACAAATAAATAGTGATGTGATAGTATTTGTGATTAATTAGAGAAAGAGTGATTATTACGTTCAAATTATAATTTTGTTACTTAGAAAGCTAATTTTTAAAGTATTGTTAATTATTTAAAGATTTTTAATTTGTAAGTACTAAACTCAAAGTACAGTTAATAAAAGAAAGGCTATGATTGTAACTTTTCAGTTTACTCAGATTTTATAAATTTTGTTTACTGAAGAGATAAGTAGGTAATAATAAGTTTCACTGATATAAAAAATAGCTTGTCAAGGTAACATAAAATTGATTGTCTACTTCAGTACATTGAATATTTTTGAGTATGATACTAAATTTAAGATTGTAGGAAGACAATTCTACTTGTTATATAAAATATCTTATATTTTGACTGTTTGTCACAATAATTAATAATAATATGTAAGCTATTTTAATTTGTTAAAGTTAATTTTGCTATAGAAAGGTGATTAAGCACATTAACCGTCTTTGGCGTCAGTCCCTATCATGTCTCGTCAGTCCCTAGATAACTGATTTCAAAAAAACTTGAATTTCTCTTAAAATACATTGTAAAGTGACTGGCCCTTTTAGATGCAACAAAGTAAATATTATATCCACAGTATAGAATCAGAAATTTACTGATAACCATCTAAAAAGACCTTTGTCAAAATTAGGCTATAAGTTAACCAAATTTTGAAGAACCACCCATATATATATATATATATATATATATATAAAATATATATATGTTGCGATATATAGATCTTGCTATGTAGAGTGAAAAATTGACTGCGACCTGTTTAATAAAAATCATAAATTTATATAGGTACTACTAGCAACTCACCGCCGCGCCGCTCCGCTCGGGTCCTTAATTTGGTTTTAACGTTAAGTATAGATTTCTCAGAGATATTTTCCCGTAGTAAAAAGTATCCTATATGTTCATCCGGATAACCAGCTATCATCATACCTCATCAAAGTCCCTCCAGTGGCTTTTGCGTGATGCGGTCACAGACAGACAGGCAAAAATTCTGAAAACTTTAGATTTGCCCTCTGTATCGATAATAATGTCTATTTCAATAAGATTTTACAAAATAATTTTAATGTACAGATTCGACTCGGTTAGAATTTTATTATATGTATAGATGTAACTGACAGACATCGCACATATCATCACACACATCGATATCGTATAGAAAATTCATTCCCTAAAAAGGTTAAAATAGAGCTTTGAAAGTGCGTGGAAGGCATTATTAAATTTACAAGTCTGGAAATTAACGTTTAAGCTTATGTTTACACTGGAATTCTCTCTGTATTGAGGCTAATTTCAACTGGCACATTGTTTATATTGGTACATACGCGACATCTTGAAATACAGCTATTGGGATTTTAATGATTAATTCATCAAATAACATTAGAGCTCAGTGATAATGTAGGCTATATTGGTGAAAGACAGAGTTAGCAGAAGTCGATCAGTGATTCCGGACATATTACGTCATACGTCCAATCTTTACGATGATCTATCAAGATAACGGTGAAGGGAACACCGAAAAGAAATTAATCAACTTCTCTTTTACACTAAGGAAATATTAAATTTAGTGATATTTAACATATTTAACATTATTACATCAACTTTTGCCCGCGATTCCATTTTCATGATAGGATGACAAATAAATATACGTCGTGTTACTTTCCGAATCTTTTTTAGACAGCAATAAACGTATAATACTTTACGCAAATATTTGACATTTTAAATAAAACTATCTTTTCGGATTATTTCTCGGATCCAGTCCAGTGTTTATATTTATGATATGTATGTATTTAAAGTTATAATATATGTGTAGTGTATCAACTATCTGATATCCGTAACACAAGCCTCATAGCTTACCATGGATTTAGATGGTGCTGTGTGTTAATGTCCCAATATATTTATATTTAATTAAAATATGTGTCACATGTTTTATATTTCGATCCAGACCCAATAAATATTGTAATGCAAGCTATCATTTAAATCGCAACTTTCCAATGATTCAGTTGACCTCTGTCACATATTATTGACTCACTGTGTTATGAATACTGATGCAACATAAATATTTCTATTAATCAGTACTTTTATTCATAGTACCTATAGGTTGCTGAGAAAAAATTACCTATTGGTAACCTATTGGTATTTATGGCGTTTTAAATTACCTATTAATTATATATAAATGTGTTATGTCTGTCTCTAGCGTCATAGATAGATCATCATATAAATAGAAAACTTCCCATATATACAACAGTTTTATAATAATGTATGGAAGTCTGCCCGATTTGTTGACATTTATGATTACTGCTCCGCTCCCGTGGGCGACGATGTTATATAGCCATCCTCAATAAACGGGCTATCTAATGCAAACAGAATTTTTCAAATCAGATTAGTAGATCCTGAGATTAGCGCGTTCAAACAAACAAGCAAACAAACAAA